ACGCCCTCTGGACTTTATCATGGTCCAACAGAACCATTATTACAAAGAACAGAGAGAATTACTATTTTAGATGTGAATGAAAAATTATAGAAAAAATGAGTATGGGCATCACAATAATATAGAAACATGTTTATTAAATTTTTATCACTATAGAAAAGTGTTTGTTAGATTTTAAATGTGTAAAATGGAATACTATGATGTTCTATAACACCACCCACTACCTTAGTAAAAATTATATATGTCTACATAGACATGTACATATATTAATTTACTGTTTTGTATATATATACAAATGCTGATAATGTGTAGACAAACCATCACACTTACTATTGGGATTAAAAATTATATCAACCTATGGCAATTTATTAATATAATTGTTTACTTTAGTCCAGATTTTCTATTTTTGAAAATTTATCATGCACAAATTATTCTATAGGAGGAAAATAAATTTGTATATGGTTTTCCCTAGTATTTCCAAGATAAAATAACTGACCATATATTAAAAGATGTACAAACTGGCAATAAATTTCCCACTAAATGAAGAAAAATACAAAACAAGGCCTCTAGAAAAATATATGCAGTCTAAAAAGAAATTATTACTATAATTATTAATATTTTATGTATGAAGATGTAGTATTGAGGAGAAATATCATCATTGTGTTTATGATACATATTAAAAAGTCTTTGCTAGAGGCAGTAAGTTTTATAAAATTTGCGAAACATGGCAATAACGGCATTTGAAGAAATATTTTTGACATTACCCGGAATGCAGGGTCTAGAACACAGGTCATATAGGAATGGAAAGGGGTGCCCAGGAAAGTGGGGTATAGGGCTGGGGGAGGGCTCAGTATTAGAGGGGGGCAGAGTGAGGAGGGGAGCTCTCAGCACTGAGGTCTCAGAACTGACTCCATTGATGGAAGAAAGGGGAAACAAATGCTTCTCAGAGCGTGAAAGGGAACATGAATGAGGAGAGAAAAAGAAGGGAGAACCAGTCATTGGAAGAGCCATACCATATTCTAGAAATAACAGATAATCTCTATAGTGATCAAGATTCTCTGGGTGTCAGATTCTCTGGGTTCAAATCCCCGAGTCCCAGTGTGATTTGGGGGAAATTCTTTAACTACATGGCATCAGTTTCTTCATCTGAAAAAATGTGCATGATAATAGAACCCATGTCATAGAATTATTGTGAAGATTGAATAAAAGCCCAGCAGGTAATAAATGTTCAACAATTTGTAAAGGCGATCTTTTATTTATTTTTTGTACAGGAGATGAGGATTCCAACTGGTTTCCTTCTCTGTCAGAGCAGCATGTTAGCCCTTGCCGCTTGCCTCACTGGGAAATGGTGTGTTTATCTCTGAAACTTTCCAAGTGACTCCTTGTTTCCCTGGCCCAGTTAGCGGAGCCAGCGCTGGTGTGCCATCAGCCAGAGAGGCAGGGCCTGCTCACGGCCTTTCTCTCCCCTTTTGTCACAGGCAGGTGCTCGATGACAAGCTACTGGAGTCAGGGAGAGAAAAGAATGCTCCACCGATGACCTGTGGCTTCAGTCTCTTCCTGAGCCATGTGTGTCTGGGAGAAATATTTGCCCTTGGCTACGTGCTGTTTCCCACTCTGAGTCATGTCTCTTCCTTTCTCTCATTATTCTCCACGCCTACCTTTTCCGATAACGGCTTGTGCAGCCAGGCTGAGTGACCTGGCGTGTCCTTGTGCAGGCAGAGAGGTGTCTGTCCTATTTTTGGATAACTGTTGAAGTGGTGTCCTCTGACTTCTCTCACTGCTGCGTGGTCTTCTTTCTCTGCCACAGACACATTGCAACGGTCAACAGCACAAGGGAGTGGAAAAGAGATGAATGGTCACAACCTGTAGCTCAGTTTTCATTTTAACTTTTGCTTTTCTGCCACTGTATTTCAGATGCTTGATTCTAGTAGAGCCCTCACACCTCTTCCCAGGCCGCTTTTTATTCAATTAGACATAGGCGACGTTCCTTTATGGAAAAGTCTTTAGCTGACTTCAACTCCCTTCACCTGTTTAATTCCATTGCCCCCTTCACTAGGTGTTTGGGACGGGGGTGTCCAACAGCAAACCTGTGATGGTGAAGTTTGTGTCATTGGAAACTCCCATTCCCCCTTTTCTGTCCTGATTTTGTTTGGTGGCATCCCTTTTAATCAGTGCATGGTGCTCTCCTATGGCTCGCAGCTCAAGGCCCTCATACTTGGATCCCTTACGTAGTTTTTCAACATCCCTTTCTCAGGTAATCCATTCACATTAAAGTAATGGATGGCTGCTAATAGAGTGATATGTTACCCCACCCAAAGGGTATCTTTTCCTTAAGAAAGCATCAAGGTCTAAGGTCCCAATGGTGGCATTTCAGATATCAGTCCAAAGAAAGTAGCTAAGGAGTGGGTACAAAATGTTTTTAAAAATACAACAAGTGCCTTCTTTTGCTCATTTGGCTATTTAGAGGTGCATGGGGATGGGGTGGGGAATTAGGTTGATTAAATTATGGAAGCCCAAATTGTTTTTATTCCTAAAAAATATAACCTGTGCCCTAGCCAGTTTGGCTCACTGGATAGAACATTGGCCTGTGGACTGAAGGGTCCCAGGTTCGATTCCTGGCAAGGACACATGCCCGGGTTGCAGGCTCGATCCCCAGTAGGGGGTGTGCAGGAGGCAGCCAATCAATGATTCTCATCATTGATGTTTCTATCTCTCTCTCCCTCTCCCTTCCTCTCTGAAATCAGTACTAAAAATATATTAAAAAATAACTTCAATAACTTGTATATCCTTATCCTGCGCTCCCTCCTCCTTCAATTCCTTCCCTTGTCCTCCCTATATAATATATACCTTGAAGGAAAAAGATATACCAAATCCTGATTTGTCATAAATTGCATTAGCATGGTAATTTTTTTATTGCAGCACTACATAATTTAAAAAAATAATTCTTAGAGTAATGTGTAACCTTGTAAAAATTCTTTAAGTTATTGTTATCTTAAACATTCTAAAATGATAAAGTTTCAAGCTACAGAAATAGAGCTATTATTATTATTTTTAAAAAATATATTTTTATTGATTTTTTACAGAGAGAAAGGGAGAGGGGTAGAGAGTTAGAAACATTGATGAGTGAGAAACACCAATCAGCTGCCTCTTGCAGCCCCCCTACTGGGGATCGAGCCCACAACCAAGGTGCATGCCCTTGACCGGAATCAAACCCAGGACCCTTTAGTCTGCGGGCCAATGCTCTATCCTCTGAGCCAAACCGGTTAGGGGTAGAGCTATTATTTATATGATTTCTCTGCTTACTATTTAATTTGGTCTGGGTTTAAATGAGACAATGTATGGGCCTGTGTTTTCTAAAGTGTAGAATGCCATAAACACAATGCTTTAGTATTATAAATTTCAAAATGGGAAATGGGATAAAGAAATAGCAACATTCTAAAATGCCAGAAAGTATGCTTCTAAACAAGTTTCTAAGTGTTAGTGTTTTATATCCCTAAAGATGTGAAATAAATTTCAGATAAGAGAATTGGGAGTAATTACTAGAATTAGTACATTTCAAACCCCTCTTGCAAATGAAATTTTTGAAGTCGAAGCATGATTTCCACCCTAGCTCTGAAACCATCCCAAGTTTTCTTTAATTATTTATTCACATAGTCATTCATTCAAAAATATTGATTGAGCTCACTAAGTGTTGGGCACCATTTCAGTATCGCGGGAAACAAAGATGAAGTCATGCTTTTAAATCTAACTAGTAATCAAGTAGGGTTAGTTAACAAGGGTTGGTTTTACTGGGTGGTAAGTGATAATCGGAGTTTGTACAAGATTTTATATGAAGACACAGAAGAGGCACTTAATGTGGAGGAGTTTCAGAAACAGGGGTTAGACTGCCATGAGGAGAAGAGCGATCCTGGCATGGGGGCAGGCAAGAGCTGGGCACTTCAGTGAGGGCTGCAGAAGGGAGTTGCTGCAGGTGACAGTGGGGCAATAGTGAAGGCCTTGCAAACACTGTTCAAAAGTCTGGAGTTTATTGTAAGGGCAAGCACATGCAATTGATAGTTTTGAGCAGCAAGTCTTGATGGGATCACTTTGTTTTGAGGGGAAGATGGATTGGAGAAGGTCATATTGAAGGCTAGGAGTGAGGCCAGTTAACAGGCTGTAGCAACTACCTGGGCAAAAGTTGAAGATAGTAATGGTCATGGCCGTATAGCAGTGATCTTGGTAGAGAAACCTTCAAATAAAATAAATTTTAATTAATTTAGAATATAGAGTAACATTATTTTTGGGGAAAATGTCACAATGATAAAGACTTAAAATTGTTATAAATCTAGGAATCCCTGTCATGAAGAATCAAAGCCATATACACAGTTTCACAATCAACTGAAGAGTGAAAAACGAATGCATTATTTATTATATTTATAGCACCCAGCCCTCTAATTGATAGAAAATCCATGATTTTTAAAAATTCCTGGACTGAACAGATAGATTGGTTTTTGTATACGTAGCCAAGTCTTCTGACTGAAGCTACTGAAAACATGGAGCTAGAAAGCTCCTGAGAGATTTTTTTAGTTCAATCCTTCCCTTAAAGATAAGAAAATTGAGACCCCCAAGATTAAACCATTTGCAGTAGGTGACACACCTCAGTAAAGGCAATGCTGAGACTGGGATCCAGATGCTTGATCTTTTTTCATTACATTCCAATAGCTTCCCAAGAAAGGCCTCTAAATAAATTCATGGGATGTGGATGACTGAAAAGAGGGACTTTCAAAGTTCTTTGAAACTATAAAGAGCATTTTTAAAAGCCAGACACCTGCTTTATTATTAGAAGTTGGTCACTTTTCCAGATAAACTGACAATGAAAATTCTATGCTGAATCAGCAAATACACTTCACATACTCACTTTTCAGAAATAATTTTAGACTCTAGTCTGGCTTCATGGTACCAGTACCCAAGAACATGTGATTTATATTGTTTTACTTTCTCATAAAAACAAACAAACACCTGAAAACAGAAATATCAGTTTATTCAGGATTAGGAAGAGACTTTATTTCAGGAAGAAGATGAAATATAGTGGGTTTATGAACAAGCAATTCCATACTTTTCATCCAATGATAGAAAAATTAATAGGAGACCTCTGTAAGTGCTGGAAAAACAAAAAATTAAATTACCAATCTCATAATTTTCACTAATACATTCCTGAATAAGCAATAATTCATGTTTTTTAATGTATTATGAGTTTTTAAGAAGGTAATTAGTTAGAACAGAATCTTTATTGATCAGTTCTATATTTAATGTAAGAAAAGCAATGAATGTATCTATGGGTTTTTTAGAAAGTTTATTATGGATATTGAGAAAGTCTCCAAATCACCCACCTCTCAGCCCCACCAGCTAAAGAACAAACATGTTTGCACATGTGACCTGGATCAACTTGGTACAAAATTTCAGTTTTTGAAAGAGTTAATGGCAAATCTCAATAAAAATTCACTTTGAAAGTATCCAATGCTATTAAGAAATAAGGAGCTCATAGTTATCATTTTTAAAAGTTACTTGATTTTGTTATATGACTTTGTGTATATTTTTTATTTTAAAACTTGCCAAATGAGTGGTAATGCTTTCAGGTAATGATCATGAGTGTCTTTTCTAAGGATGCTATCATGGCCTAAGACAGTTTTAAAAGCCTCTTTTGAGGTTACTTTCAGAAAAATACAAGTCTCCTAATTTAATCATTAATTTGCCTCAGTCCCCAATAATATTCCAATAAATCATCCTTTATTTCACCAGTCCTGGCAATTTAGAAAAATAAAATTAATATTTGAATGAAGTTTTGTCATCTATTAAGATATTTAAATGAATGTTAATTCAGGTTCTTATAGTAATCCTGAAATTTGAGCATTTCATACTTTTAAGATGTGTAAATTGTAGTAACTACTCACATCATAGACATCATTTGTGTAAGTTATCATTTTGGAATAATGAGATTTCTAAAACAAAAGCAATGCATAACATTAAAATAGGATTCTACAGTTCACGATGATAAGAATAATTCTATACTGTGTAACAAAACTCATGTTAGACAACATATTGAAAGTTTATAGCTGTTAGTGTTTAATTTATAAATAATAGCTCAGTAGCATGGACCCAACGAATTGACAAATTTCTTGGAAGTCTCTCTACATGAATCACTGTGATACTTAAGTATAAGAAATAGGCTTTATTGTAAAATGTTATTAAATAGCACCAATATTACTTGAAGGTAAAGTGAAACATTAATAGGAATGCAGCATACTGGTTTAATTTCTAACTATAAGAGAGAAAGCATACCCTAAACAAAATAAAAATTGGATACAGATTATTTTAAGATAAACATTACTCATAAAACATTTCAGGGTTTTGCTTATAAAGTTAGAAAAAAAAAGCCAGTACATTGGTCTTTTACATTCTATTCCCAAAGAAGATATATATGCTTACATAATCACGACAGTGCAATCTCAGCAGTAAAATTCCTGCTCATTCTATATAGTTACTCATTCTATATATTAGCTCAACAAGAACACAAATATAATAAAAGTGCTTGAAAGCAATCTGATTAGAGCAACATTTACATTAAGTACAAAATATACAGTAAAATGAAATTTCTTGTTAAATAGGATTAGAGATTAACAATACCTTATTTAAAGGAACACACTTGCATGAATCAATTTTCACATTTGTTTTATTATATTTGATAGCCCCTATCACTACTGTATGCTTTCATTTCTGCAATTTCTAGAATCTTTGTATATCTTATCGCTAAGAGTCCCTATGACTTTATCTGCAAAGGTAACTTCAAAGTATTACTTCCAAAGTAAGAAAATAAGAAATTCCATACTTTTATGGCAGTTGTGCAAAAAAACCACTGCAGTATTTGAGAGAAATGTATCTTGATCATTATAAATTCATCATGATAAAAGATATACTTTTGTACTAAAGCAAAAAGTGTTTGCCTTTAAAAATAGTGTTGTCAACCTATTGTGTAATTCTGGTTATAAAGTTAGATATGAAATCCATGGTTATTAATTATTAAAGCATTATTTGAAAAAAATTTGCCAAGAAACATTCCTAAATGTGGCTGCCCATCTTAAGGAGCACAGTTGGGGAATGAACGGAACAGTAGTCGCTTTATGCCGTAACAACAAAGAAGTAGGACAGTATCCAAATCTGCAGACCTGGGACCACGTGTTCAGTCGCGGCTCAGCTGCACGCTGACAGAAGAGAGGATGCGCCCTGCGCTCACACACAACGGGGCAATGACAACGTCTGTCACACTCTTCCATATGGTCTGCACTGAAGGCTGGATCATTAGGCAGGTCTTTACAAAAGGCATTATAATCCTGGAATGGAGGAGGAGAGACGTGTAAGGGTTATTGGTGTTACCAAATAAGGCCACTGGCTCCTGCACATGCGTGAAAAGATATAACAATGGCCTAACTCACCTAACTTTGGCTGAGCTTTTGAAACAAAATAAAGTGACCCACATAGTGATAAGATGCACAGAAGATAAGTTGCTTAAAAACTAGTCAGGCAGGGAGATGACAAACAGTAATCTTATTTCTTTGGGTGGTATGCTGTCTGAATCAGTAAAACAAAAAATAAACCAAACTGTAAATTTATCTGACCTTTACCCCTAAACATTAACCTGCCAAACTCTTCACATTTCTCTGGGGTTCTAATTCCTGGTAGCCTTTCTTGTTGCCTTATTCCACTTCACTTCCCCTTAGGACAGGCTGGGCTGAATGCTTGTGTGTGTGTGTGTGTGTGTGTGTGTGTGTGTGTGTGTGTTTGTGCTTCTAACATATTGAAACAAACTTCTTAATCCTCAAATGTATAAAAAAGCATCACAAACAGATGCTTATATTTCTGTCTTTCCTACTAGAATCGAAGTTCTTTAAGTGAGGACATATGAGGTGAAGTGAATTTAGCCATCTGTTGACATTTATATTTTTAATTTTTCATAATAATTACATGTACTGAAAAGGGTTGTGTGGTATAGTTAAAAGAGCCCTGCAATTTCTTAGGTGAGAAAAACTAGATGATATTGAAATTATTTTATTCATGTGCCTCTTCTTGAAATAACTGCATATTCTCATATTCCTCTGAATATGGCTTCTCTCTGTCACCCTCTGAAGATTGTTTCCTGCTGCAGTGGTGCTCTTAGAGCACAGTGGTATTTGTGAATTCTCAGGCCTTGACGGCAGCCTCAATGGAATTTTTATTATTACCTGGGTGGGCACAGGAAGTGGGATTGATTTTCTTGGCTTGCTTTTAAAATGTGACTTAAGTAACGGCCTATGGTACTTATTCCAAAGAGAAGGAAAGATCAGGCAACTGTCTGGTTGCAATATTTTTAGAATACTGAATTATTCATATTGACTGTTTACTATACAGATTATACTTATCTTGTGTTTTGTTCTAAATACTAAAGACTTGAAGCAATCTCGAAAGAAAATTAATTACTAGGTGTTTCAGAGCTAAAGAGTTGAATAGAAACTTGAATGATGGCAACGTTTGGCTTCTTATTCCATTAGTTTCTCATTTTATGTGTGGCTTTGGGTAAATTACTACAAATTGAAGTATGACTTGGAAATCTTAGAGACTGGCTATCAGGATTATGTGCCCTTGAAATGTCCAAATGCTGCTGTCATTATAATAAATATAACTATTTTGAAGTCAGAATGAAAACAATTATAACAAAATAATCTCAAATTGACATACTACAAGGCTTAAGTTTAGATCAGAAAACTTCTTAATCAAATCCACTTCATTCAATATATAATTAGCTTGCCTTTCTTCCTCAGGCTAAGAGATTTATCATCTTCATAACTTGTTAGATTTCCATGTCTTAAGAGGGAATTACGCTCGGGACAAAAGTGGATTTTCCAGTTCAGCAGACTGCAGTACCCACACTTGACATTAGTTCATAGGACGTGCTGAACTCATTTTAATGTTATTTTCTTTAAGTTGTTGTTCTCTCACTTTGGATCAAAGACTCCAAAGATCCTCTGATCTCAAACAAACTGTTTCCTCAACATCCTAGATAGTACCCCTTCAGAAACCCCAGGCAATTTGGAATAACCCAAAACTTGGTTGAGGCTCAATGTGGCCAACCTAAATACTTCTTCTATTTTAAAAAAATTGATTTAGAGAGAAGGGAGAGAGAGAGAGATGAGACTAGGGATCAAACTCTCAACCTGGGTATGTACCCTGATGGGAAACGGAATCCAGCACCTTTTGGTGTATGGGATGAAAGTTCCAACCAACTGACCCACACTGGCCAGGGCCAAAAACTTCTTAAATAAATCTTATAATTTATAAGAGCATATATTCCTCCATTGGATAATAAAGCTCTCAGGGCAGAGACTTTATTTAGCTTTGCATTAACAATAGTGTCATGCAGATTGAATTGTCATAGCAATTTGCTTTATTAAAAAATCTTCCGGAAAATGAGACTGATACTGCTGCATTCCCATCAGAGGAACCAGGTATTTGAATTGTATTCCAGCAAATATAAGGGGTAAGAGAGCTCCAGCCAACATTTCTTGGTATGATTTACTTGTGATCAATAATTTGCAATCGCCAAATGGTGGCTACCTCAGCCTGAGTGTGGTGTGGAATCAAACTAATTTCCTGGATCCTAATGACCTGAACTCTGGCCTGGGATACATCACCAGACTGAGTTCAGGGTTGTTGTTGTTTTTTTGTTTGTTTGTTGTTGTTGTTGTTATTTTCACTTGTTTCTTTATAGAATTTAAAAATCAGACCCGTTGTGATGATGTGATGTTTTCATAGCTTTGGTCACATACTCCCTATCAAAAGAAAAAAAAGAGAAAGAGCGAGGCAAGAGAGAGTGAGAGAGAGAGAGAGTGCACAAGCTTACTCAAATAGGTTTGATATTCTCTAAGGTCTCTAAAGATTAATCTACTAGTATTTTATCCAGGTATAAACTAACTTTTAAGCATTTTTGTTTGAAGTGACTTCTCTACTTGCAATCAAAGCTGTCTGATGACACATGTATGATGGTTAAATATTAATGTCCCACATGAACGCAATCTGAGAAGAAAGCTGAAGTTAAATAATACATTTCATGTGGCTGAAAAGGAACTGGTTTGATGATTCACCATACACAAAAACCCCTATGGTGCTCAGGACAGCCAGGTGGAGAGAAGCATCATTTGGTTAATTGTAGTTTTACTTATATCTTTCCACCATTTAGAAAATGAAAACCTTTTTGTTTTCAAGTCTTCCACAAGTGCTTTAGGAAAACCTGGCTTTGTTGTATAAACATGGCACTCTACATTTCCAAATAGCTTCGTAGCCAACGTTTCACAATATGCGGTGGCTTCCCAGTTTTTCACATTTTTGAAAGTGAGAAAACTAACACAGAGGTTAGATAACTGGTTTTAGTTAATTAGAAATCCAAAATTTTATATGCGGAATTTTAAAAAATCCATGTATTGCCCCGGCTGGGTGGCTGTTCGTTTCAGCATCATCCTTTACACCAAGAGGTTGTGGGTTCCATCCCTGGTTGGGGTGAGTGTGGGAGGCAACCCATCGATGTTTCACTCTCTCATTGATGTTTCTCTTTCTCCCTTTCTCTTTCTCTACAAAATAATAATAATAACAATAAAACAACAACCACAAACATATCCTTGAGCGAAGATGAAAAACAATCCATGTGCTAATGTCAGAATATGAACTAACTATACATCTGGCCTTTGTGGATCTGTGGATATATAAAGGCAAAGATTTTCATTCCTTTAGCAGTCTTCTGGCATTTTCAACATAGTTTAGCTGTTTACAATCTTTAGTGATCAAACGGAATTGATGTTCATTCTTTCTCCTTTGCCTATTTGGTGAATTTTTATTCACCATTTTTAGACTCTTTTCTCTGCCCACATAGCCTTCCCTGTGCCTCCGGCCTCCTCCACAGGTTTAAGTGAGTTTTCTCAGCATCCACCTCTGTACCCAGCCAGCTGCCCTGCTGTGCTGTGAAGAAGCTGAAGGCAGACCCTGCATCTTTCTCATGCCGGGCCCAGGGCTCTGCACAGACTAAGCATTCAGTAAAGTTTCCTGGTTGAACTAAACAGCTAGCTAACTGACTGAAGAACTTGATTCGGATGGTAAAGGGGAATGGAGACTAATTTTGTAACTTCTAACGAGGAACACACTACGAGTGAGGGTGCAGCAATCCCATGATTCAGAAAGGCATGGCGGCACCTGAGGTTACACATTTGACCTGGATGGACTAAAGCACAAGCTTGGCAACTGTTGCCTCTCCAATAAAGTGGATATCTTTTAAAACAACAACAACAAAACACCTTGGTAAAATGTGGCATTGTCCCTTAAAACTTTTTGATACTTAAAACTGTTCTCCAAAGCTTTATGATGCATGTTGAGTGTGAATAAAGCTACTCAAAGTATCCTATCGATGTCCAGTAGGTTTGCTGTATGTATTTTCCCTTTTAACTGGAATTGTTCAGAAGTGAAAAGGGAATCTGGAGGCCTTCTCATTTCATAATCCCGCAGTTTGAATTTTCATTCGTCTGGTCTCATTCTTGCCATTTGCCCCTGGCAGGAAGCAGGTTTTCCATCCTTTTCCAGTGATCCTGTCACTGGCATTCTGCTCAGAGATCGCTTTTGTTTTACCCCAAGCATAGGTGGTGACTGCATACGAAGTGATGAAAAAAACCTAAGAGCCCTGCCCCAAACCAGAGGTACAAGTCCCAACACAGCTAGAGACAGAGCAGCCTGTGGCAGGGAACTAGGCCTCCAGTTTCCACCTCCACAGGCGGCTGGGGGACATCCCCTCTGTTTAAACTCCTAACCCAGCCCGTGGCTCTCCTCGCCCCCGCCCCCGCCCCCACCCTAGGATTCTAAAGAAAGCACAGGCTTTGAAGGCCCCCCCACCTTCTCGCTAGGGTGTCAGGAGCTGCTGCGAGTCCCCCCTGCATGCCAGCCTGGGAGAAGGGGCGGGCAGGGGGCAGGGGGGCAAAGAACATTCCCAAGCTGGTCCACCCCCCCCCCACCCCCCTCCCCCCCCCCACACACCCGGGGTGCCCCTTCTCACCAGATGTGCAGACAGCTGAGGGTGGCAAAGAGAATCCCCGCGGCAAAGGCCAGGGGGATCGCCAGGAACAGGGTCAGGAACTTGTAAACCACGATTTGCTGAGCTCGAAGAGGCATGGCTGCAGATCCACACGTTGTCGAAGGAGTGCGTGGACTGGGGCTCGGCGATCCACATCCTGAAAGTCCAGCTGCGGGAAGGGGGGCGGGGATGCGGGAATTGTCACCAAACCTGCGCCCCCGGGACCCAGGAGCCTCAGGGCGGGGAGAGCAGAACGGGAGGGCTTGGCAGGGGTGCCCCACCTTCTCCTGGGGTCAAGGTCGGCTCCCAGAAAGGAGGCTAAGAATTCCTGGCTACGCAGGCGGCCCGCGGCTGGTGGTTCTGGGTCCCCGGACCCCGCGGGGCTGACCCAGTGGCGTGGGGTGGGGTGGGGGCAGAGGTAGAAAGAGGGGGGGTCCCCGCACCTCCTCGACGGGTGGGGAATGCGGAGAGGCTCAGGCCAGGTTTGACCAGGCCCTTCCGGCTTTCACTTGAAAAGCTCCTTGGGTTGTTCGGATCCCAACGCGATCCAGAGCCCCGCCCTTTGGAAGGGGGGGCAAGTTAAAGCCCCTGGT